GCCAACTCAATACCTGATATCAACTCCAGACCTTTTATCTGCTTCATTTGTCTTGAAGTAACGAGGGAATGGACCGCACCTGGTCAATTAACTTCTTGTCAGTCAATTGTCCAAATACCTTTGAGCCCCTGAAAATGGAAGTACTTTGCTTAAAATGGCTGTAATTCCTAAATGGTAAATGCCATATTTTTGTGTAACCTCTTAAAATAAAGCTGAAAGTCTACACTTCGATCACATCTTGATTGTTTTATTTCAAATCCATTGTGGTGGTGTATAAAGGCAAAATCACAAAAACTCATTGTACAAATACTTCCAGACCTGTACCGCATTGTACAAATACTTCCAGACTTCCATATATATATATATATATATATACATATATATATATATATATATATATATATATATATGGTGTATAGTATATATTATAACATTAAAATATCTAAAAGTGTGTGTGTGTGTAAAATGGCATATCACCTGCCTGATTTACATTTAGTGAAGTAATCTATTAGCATTGAAGTGGGGTGACATAAACAGTGTACAAGCACAGAACCAAAGCAGTGTGCAGTGTTTTCTCTCCTGAGAAGACATATTTGATTATAAGAGGAATAATTGAACCTCAGCTATAATGGTGACAGCCCCATCACAGCCTCCACTGCCGTCAGCTAATCTGCAATCACTGCTCTTTCAAAGGGCCTCCGTCACAGAAATTCTTCTTATCATCCTGTTGCCTACCTCCCACAATTTCTTTCTGAACTTCTCCCCCACAATCATACATCACCAACTGATTGCATTCTCTATCACATAATAACTGCAGGAAGATTGGTGAATTAATTCGAACTAGACCGTCAGTAGTTTGGGCATTTCTAAAGAATGACCCATTATGTGTGTTCTGTTTAACAAATAGTGTGTGCATTTATGGTGTCTAATAGAGGGGGAGAGAGATGTTTTAGTTGATCTAATATGCTGCCAAGCCAGCCTGAAACTGACCATGAATAAAACATCCCCTTAATTTAATCTTTTTACCCTAGCTCATACTCCATTAAATTATGTTATGTCTTAAATGGAGCATAATTCAAAATGACACCCATTTTAGATGGCAGAGTCCCATCCATTTGTCAACCCAAAACAGCTGGAGTAAGGAAACAAAGTAGACAAGCATGTAAATTGTCAAATAACAGAATAAGCTGAAAATTTTGCTTTGCTAAGAAAACATCAGTGCTCCGCTGAAACACAAATTAGGAAAATTTTCAACTATTTTTACAATTATGTGGTTGTTATGCATTGCATTTTTTTCCTCTGCACAAATGTTAAGCCCCCATATTATTACTCTATATGGCCAAAAGTATGTGGAAACCTGACCATCACACCCATACTTGGTTCTTCCCCAAACTATTGCCACAAAGTTGGAAGCACACAATCGTGTAGGGTGTCTTTGTATGCTGTAGCATTAAGATTTCCTTTCGCTGGAACTATGGTGCTCAAAGATGTTCCAGCACAATGTGAGGTCCATGAAGACATGTTTTTGCAAAGGTTGGTGTGGAAGGACTCAAGTTGGAGCCCTGACCACAATCTTACTGAACACCTTTGGGAAGAATTGGAATAATGGCTTCACACCAGGCCTTCCGGCCCAACATCAGTGCCCAACCTCTTGTGCTCTTATGGCTGAATGGGCATAAAACCTCACAGCCACGTTCCAAAATCTAGTGGAAAGCCTTCCCAGAAGAGTGGAGGCTGTTATTACAGCAAAGGGGGGACTAAATCTATAATAGGATGTTCAACAAGGACATATGGGTATGATTGGTCAGGTGTCCACATTCTCCTGGCCATATATTGTATGTCTTACCTTTAATAAATAATAACCTCATGGAATATAAAGTAGTTACGTTATGTTAAGCAAGCATTTAGGTGTGTGAATATTGATAAAAAGAAAAGAAATCTTGTGCAAATCATTTTAAGAATTGCTTATGCGCAGATCACTGTGAATAACTGAACATGTAGCTAATTTATCAGAATGTCAATGTAGAATCTCATAGGTCATCTCGCTGACCAACCACTTGACTTTTTGTTCTCCTGATTAACCTTTCACAATATAATAAAACTGAACTGGATAGGAAATATTGATTTAAAGCTGGAAAGTGCTTTTGTTTATTTATTCTATCAGTGTTATTTTAAAGTGCAGTCACGTCAAGGCTGATAATGCATGCATGGAATATGATGACTTGTGAGTAAGCAGCTGTTTTACATGTGTATCTGGGCGTGAATTCAAAGCTGGCTTTGTTAGGAATTATAATTTAAGTTAGAGGGGCCACAGTAACAATAATAATAATAATAATAATAATAATAATAATAATAATAATAATAATAATAACATTTTATTTATAAGTGCCTTTCTTGGTACCCAAGGACACTGTACAGTCACAAGAAAAATTTTTTTTTAAAAATCAGTCATAGTAGTAAGTAAATTGGTCAGGAATAACGGGTATAGCTTTCAATTAATAGCAAACTGGGCTCTTTCTCCAACAGTTCCTCCAGTGTTGTCCGTGCCACAGCAGTCCTTCAATGCAACAGCTGACTATGGTGAATCTGTGACATTTACCTGCAGGGCTTATGGCTCTCCTGAACCTGATGTTACCTGGCACAGGTATAATTCACTGCATCCTGACACACACCTCATTATTTCATCCAACACCCTGTAAACTGTGAATTTGGTAGTGCATTTATAACAAACAATAAACAGTGATGATGTGAAGGACACCCCACCTGTCAAATTCACCTTATTCACCAGGGTTTTAGGTTTGTGGCCTAAAAAACAAACTGAATGAAATGGGATACCTTACCAATGGTTACCTTTTCTCTTATTCTGCTATCAGAATAAGTATGTTAAGAAACATCGTTTATCCAAAATGTACTGTCCTGTTACAACCCAAAATGAAACAGATAAATTTCTCCTAAAAGGTTTTGTGCTTTAAAACATATTTTTCTCTCAGGAGGTGAAGGTTTTGCCATATAATAGCCCCACAGCAAGTCTGAGAAAAGAATTGAGGAGTCGCAAAAAAAGGTCCATAATGACACATTTTGCTTCTGAGTGGACACTTTTCACCTCTAATGTGTGGGCTTTGAGTGACAGGCGACCCAACATGTTGATTACAGGCCCTCAATCACTGTAATTACCTCTACTGAGATTGGCAAGAGAAGGAGATGAGTCCAATTGGTGCCAAGAACTGGTGCATGCTGACCTTTTATGAATGAGTCTAACCAAACACTAAAGGAAACACTGAGACAGCACCGCCAATTAAAGTACACCTGCTGAAACTTGCACTTTAATTGTATTTCAAGTTGCATTTACTTATTTATTCTTGTTTATAATTGGGAGTTGAATAAAGAGTGAGTAATTTGTTTTTCTTATGCTGTTTGAGTTGCTTGTTCAAGACTCAGGCCATATTATTACTATGACTGCACTGTTTCACCTTAATCTCTCAGATATGACATTATATATGTTATTCTTGAAATTTCTAAACAGGCTGTAAGATAACTATACGTGACTGCCTAATCTATGTCTGATCAAGACTAGTTCAATCATATATCATACCACTCACAATGCAGTATCATCCAGTCCTATAGCAGCTCTGTTGCCACACATGGCCAGTGTGTCTATTACGTATGACTCCCGGTATTCTCACAGTATTTATCTTCTTAATTGTCTGTTGCCACATATGCCCCTCTGCTTTAAACAGATTTCATTTCCACTCAATCCACAACCAGCATTATCACAGTATAAGCCCCTGTTATGATCTCCTCCAAATACATTAAATTACTCTTATATTAATATACTTTATATAATATTAATAAACTGCTCAATTGCCACTGCGCACCTTTATGTATAGAGCTTGAGTTGTATGTTTACTTTTTCCAATGTGCAGAGAAATGACTGAATAAAACTGTGATATTTTGTAACATAGTTTGTTTTTTCTGTGTTTTTCTATGTTTTTACTTGTGCTATTTATTATGTATCCTTGCAGCTTTATATTTCTTTTCTGTTATGTTTTTTTATGCTTTTGCATTTTGAGCAGTAATGTTTCTGTAGTAGGCTGAGATGTGTTTACCCTGTTATGTCTGGTAGGAAGGGAGTTGAACTCCAGGAGTCAGAGCAGTATGTAATGCGAGCCCGAGGTACCACACTCACTATTCGCAACATTAAACAGGACGATGGCGGCTCCTACACCTGCAAGGCCTCCAACAAGGCTGGCGATGTGCAGCGTGAGATTTTTCTCAAAGTATTTGGTGAGGACTAACTTTTTTCCCACTTACATAACTCGTGTACCTGCTACGGTAGTTTATTTTTATAATGATATAATTTATCAATATATCAGTATAATCTCTCAAGCATTTACAAATAGATATAAGGCTGTACAAATTTAAATTTTAAAGAATAAAAAGAAATTTGGTTGGAAAACTCCACATCAGTTAAATGTCAAGTTGATCTTTCATATCAGGGGCTAGCTGAACATAAGTACTATCATAAGTCAGGATGTAAAACCCAACCATTGGGAGTAGTTAGTTTCAGTGATGCCAAATTTCAGTTTCACCACAGACAATTAAGGTATATCATAATTGTTGTTGTTGTTCTTTCAACTGCTCCCATTAGGGGTTGCCACAGTGGATCATTGGTCCGCATGTTTGACTTGGCACAGGTTTTACACCGGATGCCCTTCCTGACACAATCCTCCCATTTTATCCGGGCTTGGGACCAGCACTGAGAGTGCACTCCCAGTGGCTGGGTTGGTTCCCTGCCCAGGAATCAAACCCGAGCCATGGCAGTGAGAGTGCGGGATCCTTAGCTGCTAGACCACCAGGGACAAGGTACATAATTATTAGTGCATAAAGTGATCATAGATCAAAACTGTGTCGCAGAGAGTGAAATATTTCACCACTACCAGCCAATCAGAAACACAATCTGACAGGAAATATTAAATATTTAACAGGAACTGCTACAAACTGCCCAGGTGGTAGAGGTGGTAGAGCATGGGCCTCTTTATCTCAGGATCATGGGTTTGAACCCCATGCTGGACATCAACCCCAGCCACTGGGGGTGCACAGGCTAGTCCCAAGCCTGGATAAATGGGGAGGGTTGTATCAGGAAGGGCATCTATAAAACCTGTGCCAAGTCAATATGTGGACAATGGAAGGTGATCTGCTGTGGCAACCTCTAACAGCTGAAAGAACATCAACAACAAGAGGCAATTCTACA